AAGAGTGAGCATTACTGATGTAGAGAGGCACAAATCTGCAAAAATAAATACAATGAAAACAAATTTTTAGTTGCTTATATATTCTCCAGAATTACTTTTATTTTTTTTTCCCCAGGGAGGTTTTATTTGTATTTTTAATACATTTGGAGCCAAACTGTAGTCACAGGTGTAGCTAAGTCTACTGTTGGTTAGCTTTTATGACAGGAGACTCCTTAGCAGCATTAATAGACTACACAGATTTTATGAGTTACAGATAAATGAATTGCTCTAAATGTTGTAACTTTTTTTGCTTCTGCAGTCTTACAGCAGAGCTGAATTTGTCAAGCAGAACCTATGCTGGATGGCACTTTTGATCTCTACTTTATAGAACAGATTAATTCAGGTGCAGAAGGACTGGACGTCTGAGGCTGTCTAGTCCAAACTCTGCTCAAAGCAGGGCTAACTTTGAGGTATATCAGGCTTCCCATGTGTAATCTGAGTTTTTAAGAGGGGCCTTGGAGTTGTTCACACCAGTTTGTTAGTGTGAAACATAACCAGGTCATCTGCAAGTTGAGAGGTGTAGAAATACTGGGAAAGACAGTCTAGTTGCATTACATGCGTGCTTACTTGCTTAGTGCAAAGGTGGGAAATCATCACCGTTGCTCAACCTGCTGGCAATCTGTTAGCACGGTTGGTTTCTCTCACTACTATGCTAGACCCTTAGACAAGATGCAGCTTTCAGTACTAGGTGGTTACAATGAGAACCTATACCGAAGTGCATACGTTCACTCAAAGATGTGTCAGCATAGTATGTTATGATACAATTGCTCGTGTCAGCATTCAAATCAGAGAAGGAGGGCTTGCATTTCAGCTGAAAATGTGAAACAATTTCCACCTATAACTTTCAGCAGAGACGTGGAGCGGGATGTGGGCTTGCAGGAGGAGATCTGTTCTCTACAGAGAAAAATCGTTAGGCATGGCAACTTGTAATTTCCACTGTTGTATTTAAGACAATCATATAGTAAACTGTACTTAAAGCATTGTTTCCCTAATTGTAAGTGAATGTGTCTCTTAATTACAAAGTGTTCAAGTGCATGTCTGCACACTTGAAACAGAAGATTATGTGAAAGCCACTACAAATGGAAGTTATTGGATAAAGCCAAAGCCTGCGCTGTTAGATTACAATTACAGAGACAAATTTGTGAGGCAATGTTTTACTGACAGTCAGAAAAAAGAACGGGGACTCAAAAAGATGGGATAGACTGTAACCTCAGACCTAAACATCAGTATTTATGGGGCTGGAACAAGCAAATTAGTTATTATGACTCAGTTTTCCCTATCTACAAAGCAGACCTAAAATTAGATACCTGCTTTAGGGAAGAGTAAGAGCATTAAAGGAGTAAAGTTTCATGAGGGACTTTGAAAAGGCTATAGAAATAATAAAAACATTCTGTGCCAAAATTAACAAACATTTTTAAATTGAGGAAGAATGGGGAAAAAACCACAAAAAAAGTCTCAGTATTTCCTATCGGTATTTCCTTTCAGTTTCTCTTCAGTTGTTTGTGCCATGATTTGCTGTCAGTATCCAGAAAGTAGAAAAGATTGTAAAACCCTGAAGTTCATTACATAGCTTATGAACATTTTTCCTTTTTCATTTTTAATGTAAACTATTCATTTTAGATCCTTAGATTGGCATAGTTCACTTGGTTTCCACCAGCATTGCTCTTGCTACATGAGTTTATACTGGAGGGAATGTGTTCCCTAATAAAATGCGGTTAGCATCTTCCATTACATCTTGTTACTTAGGCTTAAATTACCTGAAGCTTCTTAGTAGCTGGTGATTTCTAGGCTAATCTGGAGACATCTGAACTTGCAGAGCTTTGACAGGCTAGCACATTTCTGCTTAAATTCTCTTCATCAATGGCAAATGCCATTTCAGTGTTGTATATTTTCAGTGCTCTGCTATGGTTGTCAGACACTCTGATAAATGGTCTTGCATACACTTACAACAGTCTGTAGATTTTGATGAGGACATCAGAGCTTTACGACCTTGAAGCTACATCTTCTCAGCTGTGAAATAAGAAGCATCTGAAGGAGCACCTGGTGGTTCTGAAGAAACTACAGGTGGTCTCTCTGTGAATGGTAAGACAGAAATGAGAAGGGAGAGTCCTCTGTTTTGAGGCTGGAGAGGCAAAATCTTTGTTTTGCAGAATCTGGGTAGCTCTGCAACAGACATCCTTCCAGAGTTCCCTCAGTGCATCTTAAGAAAAGTGGTTCAAATTCTTTAATTTGTTAGTACTATCATTTTGGATCAAAATCCTGAATGAAAACATCTCTGAGTTTTGGAGAAGTTCAGGTCCTTGTTTATCACACCTACTTTCCAGCCAGATCTAGTTTCCATAACTGTTCAAAATTAGTGTCTTTAATAGTTGTCTTATAAAAGCATCCACCTTGGTAGCAGGATACTGCCTTCCCACGTTGGTTGGTAGCTCAGTCTTCACTGCATTGTAGAGATAATGCAATGCTTTACAAATTTATCAAAATGATCAGCCTATAATGTTGTCACTAAATGTATCTGTATTACTCAGTGTAATAAGGCTGTAGCATGACAAAGGAAATCTCACTGTGTTCTGCAGTATTAATTTTAAAAGACAGTATGAGTTCTTCTTTTTTCTAGCTGTTACAAATGGCTCAATTGTCCAAGTTTTTAATTTTATGCTCATGAACAGTAAATTGGTTTAATTTTCTCTTTGGAAGGAAAGTCGTGGGGGGGGTTGCTTTGTTGCTTTTT